CTCTAAACATTTATTTAAGCTTTTAAAGTTTACGACATACAACAATACGTCACTTACGACGCCGTTGTGAATCCCTCAATCATTTATGAAATAAATATGTACCTTAAATGGGTTTGCAAATTTTTTTTTGAGACATTAAAATTGCAGTGAATTTTAATTCATATCAAGAAAAAACCTCTGTATCTGTTCCAGTACTCCAGATTTTAGTCAGATTTTATGTCAGATAAATGTGTGTACGGGAACGAGGTTACAATTTTAAGTTGTTTCCTTGCCGATGCCATCTTGAAACGAAAATTGACTATCATATTGCATACAGCCTACGTCACAGCTGCCAATTCAAATAAATTTTGACAAGCAGTGTGGACCAAGGCATATTCAACAAGGTAGAAGTGACAATTCAGTCGAGCTCTCTCATACCTGACTGTAATGTCAAAAAATTTAAACAAAGAAATTAACCCTTTGTTATGCATTTACCATATTTGACAACAACATCTTTGAAATGAAAGTTTTTGTAAATATGAAAATATTTAAAATCTCGTTAGAATCAGCTTCATTTTATTTATTGAATTTTCTGTTTAATGTAAATGTGGAAATGCATACTTACACAAAATTACATACTAAATGAAACACACTCATTTATAAAATCGTTTTGAAAATTTTCTTGGTTTTACTATCCCAATTGTTACGGGGACAGCCAATTAACTCGTCGCAGCTTGTTAAATTATTGAGCTTAAGTCCAACTACTAATAGCTGCAACCCTGCTGGTTAAATACCAACACATCCAATTCTCTACTGCGTAATAACTGCAACCCTGCTGGCTAAACGTCAACTCATCCAGCTCTATTTTCCACGAACATCGGGCCCTTTTCGCTGTAGCTGTCGTCACGATAAGTTCAACTTTATATTTAAGCGTAAGAAAGAGCACAAATGTAAGTATGCTCATACTGAAATATGTTCATATATGTACATATATTCAAGATGTAAAATAATTTAGATTTTCGCTTAAGTTCATCAATGTGCTGTAAAATTCTTGAATAAATAAACCGGATTAGTTCCGAGCATTGAAGCGTAAACTATTGCTCTAAAATTCTCAACATCCGAAAATATTTTGGTGCAGAGATTTGACACATGTGAGGACTGGTGCGAAATTATAACCTCTGCGACTATCGTGACGTAAAGATTCCTTTTAAAGAATTTAGTATATTCTTCTCTGGATATCGTCGATCTTCTAAAGATGTTTTCGCCGACACGCGCAAACAATACCGAAAGCAAATCGAATGAGCTAACCTTAACTGCGAGTGTTGGCGCGACAACGTGTACGCTACCCAGCTCAAATGTTCCAGACCTTTCGCCGCATGGTTTCTCGCAAAGTGCTACATCTATAGATGGGTACGCACAGGCAGGGGAACGTGCGCGTGTAAGTAACGTGACTGCAACAATAGATCTGGGTGCTAAAGGCTCGCAATGTGCTACATCTATAGATGGGAACGCACCGGCGAGCTGCGCTACTGAGGGTAGTTATGCGGCACCTACGACAATCAGGCAGGGCAATCCTTCATTCGATTCTGTACTAAATGAGCAAGCGCTAAGGCAAGTATTTACACCACCTAATATGGTAAGAGCAGATATTTTCTCGCCAGACAATCCATTTGATACCGAAGCTCCGCATGGAGCTGTTTCGAGTCCACCTGTTGCGTGGCCCGCAAACTCCACGGTTCCTATTAGTATGCCTCCGCGTTCAGGGTATATATCTACATCAACACAGCCATTTCATTTCTATATACCTAGTAGTCAGTATGCTCCTCTAAGCACTACAACGCAACGAACGCACGTCTTAGGCACAAGTCACCCCTTCCATTCCACCACTCTTCATTATGACGACGGCCTAGCAGGTGCCGGGTTCAGCGCACCACAAACCACGCCATATCAAACCGTACAAACTACAAAACAAGCATCGCACTCAACCACAGTTCCCGCTAATCAACAATTTCGTTTTTATAATGCGAACTCAATTCCAATAACTGCGCCTGTTCCGACAGTTTCTTCGACGGGCATATTCACCGCTTCGATTCCATCGCATGTACCTGGTGGTTTCTACAGTAGGCAACAAGGCGCGAATGGGTATGCTTCATTTTCTCAGGGCCCAATGGTCGATTGCACATTGTCCACAATGCAGATAGCATCCAGGCAGGTTGTAAATAAAGAGTTACCGGCATTTTCTGGCAAACCAGAAGAATGGCCTTTATTCATTGTTAACTATGAGCAATCGACTGAGCGGTGCGGATTTTCAGAAGCGGAGAATCTTATCCGCCTTCAACGCTGTCTGAAAGGTGCTGCTTTAGAAGCAGTTAAAGGCAAACTAATGACACCTTCAACCGTAACACAAGCCATCGAAACTCTTCGCATGTTATACGGCAGACCTGCCGTCATACACCAAGCATTACAACGAAAGTTAAGGAAAGAGCCGGCAGTTCGGCACGACAACTTAGAAACTCTTATACAGTTTGCTCTTGCGGTCCAGAACTACCGTTCCACTATGCATGCTATTGGACTTTCGGCGTACTTAAACGACCCAATGCTTCTGTCCGATTTATTAAGTAAGCTGCCAAGCGACTTAAAACTCGAATGGGGTAGGCAGGTAGTAAATATGACACAAACTGATTTAGGTAAATTTGACGACTGGCTCTTTAAATTAGCGACGTGTGCTAGTCAGGTAGTCTCTGTGAGCGCAACAACAACTGTAAGCGAGATAAAAGGAAAACACTCGAAGTCCAGACTTCTAGTGCATGACGTAGTTGAAAATAATAGCAATAAAGTGAAGGGCCATCCACAACAACAATGCCATTATTGTCAAGAAGATCATAATTTGCAAAAATGTAAGAAGTTTTGTTTATTAGCTATTAAAGAGAGATGGCAATTTATACGTGAGAACAAACTGTGTATTAGATGTTTTAAAAAGCACTTTTTGAAAAATTTTCGTTCTAAAAGCCGTTGTGATATCAATGGTTGTACAAAACCACATAACGCTTTGCTTCACGCAGATGATGTAAAGGCGCTTAATGATACTGCTGTTATGCTACTAAAAGAGAATCAAATAAAATAATGTTTCGTTATGTTCCGGTCACGTTATATGGAAAGACACATTCAATAGAAACGTATGCGCTGGTCGACGAAGGGTCAGCATGTACTTTACTGGAAAGTGACATCGCGTCGAGTTTAGGCCTGCAAGGACCGTCCCGAGAGCTCTGCTTAAGATGGACTGGAGATATCACCCAATCCGATCCAACTTCAAAACTGGTAAGTGTTGACATCTCATCAAGCGACAATTCGTCGCGATACACCCTGCGTAATGTTCGCACAGTGGCAAACCTCGACCTTCCCATGCAAACACTATCTGAATCGGTATTGAATTCTCGTAAACAGTTAAACAAATTGCCGATAAAGCCTTATGAGTCTGTGCGTGCTACTATTCTGATCGGCATAGATAACGCGAAACTGGGCGTACCTTTGGAAGTGAGAGAAACTAAAGGCGATCATCTCATTGCCGCTAAATGTAGATTAGGTTGGGCGGTGTATGGCCGCGTCAGCGCTGTTTGTGAGACTTCCAACAGAGTTTTACATATTTGTCCGTGCACTGCCACAGAACGCCTGGATGACATTATTAAAGCTAACTACGCTTTAGAAGCGGTAGGTGTATGTAAAACCGACGACCCCCTAAAATCCAAAGCAGATGAGCGCGCGTATGCTATTATGAGATCCACAACCAGATACCTGCCTCTTGAAAAGAGATACGAGACAGGACTGTTGTGGAAGTTTGACAAGATAGTCACGCCCAACTCTCTGCCTATGGCAATGCGGCGTTTGAATTGCCTTGAAGAAAAAATGATACGGGATCCTAAGCTGATGGATTTTTTAAACAATAAAATTAGCAGCTACGAAGAAAAAGGTTATATCCGTAAGCTGAAGAAAGGCGAATCTATCGTATCAGAAAAGACCTGGTTCTTACCCATCTTCACAGTTGCGAACAAAAACAAGAACAAAACTCGGATCGTATGGGATGCCGCCGCTGCGGTTGAGAACGTTTCGTTAAATAGTTATTTGATGTCAGGCCCAGATCTTTTAACGTCCCTAATCGGCACACTGATGCGATTTCGCGAACGGCGCGTGGCTATCGCAGGGGGCATCCGTGAAATGTTCCATCAAATTCGTATAAGAGATGAGGACCAAGCGTCTCAATTATTTTTATGGCGGAACGGAAATCGGTCGAGGCAACCTGATGTGTATGCAATGATGGTAATGACTTTCGGAGCCGCCTGCTCACCGTGTTTGGCAAACTATGTGAAAAACGAAAACGCATCGCGTTTCAGCAATATATACGCGCATGCAGTCAATACGATTCATAAAAATACCTATGTTGACGATTGGTTACACAGTGCTGACGACGAAGAAGAGTTGATCGAATTGGCATCACAAGTTAAGTATATACATAGAGAGGGCGGCTTCGAAATGCACAATTGGCTCTCTAACTCAGAAAGAGTGCAGCAAGCGATTTCAGGTTCGACAACACAAGCAGAGAAGTGCCTTGAGGAATCAGGTACCTTGGTTGAAAAGGTTTTGGGAATGTGGTGGCTTCCACAAACGGATGAACTGACTTTCGTGGAGAGGTTTGACAAGTCGGTCTTCGAGGAAAGTGCTATCTACACAAAGCGTATTATTCTGCGCATCATCATGACGATTTATGATCCCCTGGGATTATTAGGGTTTTATTTAATCCGGGCAAAAATCATAATGCAAAACGTTTGGCGTAGCGGCGTGAATTGGGATGATGCGATTGGCGCTAAAGAACGGGAGGAGTGGCAATCATGGGTGCGATTACTGCCTGAAATAGGAAATATTCGTGTACCGCGATGCTACTTGAATGCCAGCACTAGTCACAATATTCAGCTGCACGTTTTCTGCGACGCAAGTGAAGCTGCTTACGCTGCGGTTGCCTATTTAAGAGCAGACCTTAAGGGCGAGGTCAGCTGTACGTTGGTGGCATCTAAAACTCGCGTGGCTCCACTCAAGCCGGTTTCCATACCTCGTCTGGAGCTAATGGGTGCTATAATTGGTCTTCGCCTTTCAAAACTCATCAAGCAGGAAGTGACGTTGCCGGTGACCAAAACCATATTTTGGACGGATTCCAAAAATGTCCTCCATTGGATTCGGTCAGACGCTCGAAGATATAATCAATTTGTGGCTCTCCGGGTAGGTGAGATTTTGGAATCGT